AAAGGATACAACTAATACTTATGAACAAATCATATGACCATGATCTGCTTCTAAATAATACCATAGTGGTACAGAGTGAGGGAGTGGGTGAAAGTATAGATGATACAAGATTAATCATAAATTGATTATTGTTCAAGGTGAATGACAGATATATGGAAATTCACTGTACCATTATATCATTCTCTTAACTCTTGTATGTGTTTGAAATGTTACGTGATAAAAAGCTTAAATGATAGAATCAACAGTAAAATATCTCATATACTAAATGCCAGAAAATTACTCAATTTACAATTAAAAAGAGAATGGACATGATAGTTCTGTTTTTAAAATGCTGATTTTATAATCTCAAATCACAAAATTGATAAGAACCATCTCCCATGAATTAGGGAGGATATCCATCTTTTAAAAATCCTGTGAAAAATGGTCTTGAATCTCAGATTTGGAAGGACTGTCAGGTATTATTCAGCTGAATACTCTTATGTTCAGATGGGAAAACCAAGTCACAAAGGGGATGTGAACTGCCCAAAGGTAGATCACGTGGTATTAGCAGAGCTAGGGTTAGCATTCATCTTTATCCATGTCCATTGCAATACCAAGTTTTTGAATTTACTTCATGACAGCTAAATTAGTAGTGATGGATGGCAGATAATCATATTCATTGTCACACAAGTCTAAAGAGCCACACCACCCATAGTTGAAACCATCTAGGTAAACGTTCACTGAATTTTTTTCTACTCAGAGTGCCTCAAGTTTAGGCCACCAGCACAATGTTCACATCTATAGTCTGTCAGAAACTTTGCCCTATAATCTGCCAAAGTACAATGTCTCCTACAAGAGTAGGCTTTAAATAAAATACATGCTTTCCAGCGTTGTATAAAATAAATAATTGTGGTTCAGGAAAATAAACATTACAACAACTATCAATAGTCATTTTATCAATTTAAACACGTATCTACATTTTATAATATACTTATTAGTCAAGAAGTGCAAAAATGTCATTTATAAATAAAAACACATATATAGTGGTATAGCAGTCCCCCACATCCATGGGGGATACATTCCAAGACTCCCAGTTGACATCTGAAACCTCAGACAGTATTGAACCCTATATACACTGTGTTTTCCACTATACATATATAACAATAATAAAGTTTAATTCATAAATTAGGCACAATAAGACATTCTGAATAACTAATAATAAAATAGAAAATTACATCAATATACTTAGAGTTTTGCCAATGTGGTCTCTCTCAAAAAATCTTATTGTACTATACCACAGGGAAATCACAGGCAAACAAGCACTACTGTACTGATTAAATTTTTCCTGATAAAACAAATTTTGGAGACTTTTGGGAGGTCCTCTTCCCTCCTTGCAGCTGGGCCTATTATTAATGTGAGCTGGCTTCTCCCAGAGCCCTGTATTCTCCACCTTGCCAGCCTCAAAGCCTCAGGGGTGGTGGAGATTCTTCAGCTTCATGCCTAGAAACTCAAGACTTAGTAGATGGTGTCCACAAAGGCTTTGGACTTAAAAAGTGGCTGGTATGGGACTTAAATTTAGGTCTCAGAGGAACTCCTTCATATTAAGACTATTTCAATTACTTAAGGGGTTTAGGCGTATTTTATCCACCAATGGCAGTATTCTCTAAAGTAGAGCTTTTTTTTTTTTTTTTTTTCTTTCTATTTTGAGAGGAGTCTCACTCTGTCACCAGGCTGGAGTGCAGTGGTGCAATCTTGGCTCACTGCAACCTCTGCCTCCCAGGTTAAAGCAATTCTCCTGCCTCAGCCTCCCGAGTAGCTGGGATTATAGGCACGTGCCACCATATTCAGCTAATTTTTCTATTTTTATTAGAGACAGTATTTCACCGTGTTGGCCAGGATGGCCTTGATCTCCTGACCTCATGATCCTCCTGCCTTGGCCACCCAAAGTGCTGGTATTACAGGCATGAGCCACCACTCGCAGGCTAAAGTAGATCTTTATTGAAGGAAAAAAGGCAATGAATCAACTTGCCTTTTTCACAATAATTTTCTGTCCACCCAAGCCACAGATATACCTTCCATCTGCAGAACTGCAAAGGCCACCATTTTTATAAGTACATTTTAGCTGACAATTGGGGCCATATCTTATCTGGGGACAACTTGTAATTTTTATTTTAAATAAAATAACAAAAATGATATTTTTCTTTGTTTTCTTTTATTTTTTCTTGAGATGGAGTCTCGCTCTGTTGCCCAGGCTGGAGTGCAGTGCTGTGATCTTGGCTCATTGCAACCTCTGCCTCCCAGGTTTAAGCAATTCTCCTGTGTCAGCTTCCTGAGTAGCTTGGATTACAGGTGAATGCTATTATACCTGGATAATTTCTGTATTCTTAATAAAGATGGGGTTTTACCATGTTGGCCAGGCTGGTCTTGAACTCCTGACTTCAGGTGATCCAACTACCTTGGCTCCCAAAGTTCTGGGATTACAGGCATGAGCCATCGCACCGGGAAGGAAAAACATTTTTCTCTACATCAGATGCAGTAACCATACGTAAATAGCAAAAGCATAAGAAATGTTAAAATTAAGACAAAGAACTACTCACATGTTATCTGTAAAGTAGCAAATACATGACTTTCATTCATTCATTCATTTTTTATTCACTCCATAAATATTGATTCATACTATGTGCTTGATATACTGGGACCTGCAGAGACCATTGTGAAGAAGGAGCAGTCAATCCCAGATGACTAGGAATGAGAAGATTTTATATATTTAGTCTCATGACTGATAAAGAAGAAAAATGAGCACTTTGCTTTCAAGTTACTGAAATGGTAAAAGCATTTTAACTTACAGAGGTGGGTGACACAAACTAAAATGCACTATCAAGAGGAATTAAGACACAAGTGAATGAAACTGACCAGACCAGGAAAACTGAGTCTCTCCTTCTTAAGTGTCAATGAGAAGATAATTGAATGATGGGAAGTGCAACCGACGGGAGTGCAAAGCCCCTCCAAGGCGAGAATCAGACTTGCATTTTGTTGCTTTTGCCATAAAGAATGCAAAGCCAATATTGCTAGCTAATATGACTTTTTAAGGAAAACTGAGAAATCCATATTTTATGTGAAATTAACAAATCCTTGAAAGTTGACGACTAATTAAAATTGTTTTATAGCTCTGCTAAAAGCCAAAACTATGACAGCCAATTCAAACATATTTGTGGCTACATTTGGCCAACAGCCTGCCATTTATGACCTGTAGTTTATAGTATTTTTACCTAATAATACTTTCCACATGGATTATCTCATTTAATACTAAAAAAAAAAAAATACCCCTATGATGTGGGTAGCATTATTCTTATTTCACTCTTGAGAAAACTGAAGCTCAGAGTCTAAAGTCTTGCTCAAACTTAAACAGCCCGTAAGAATAAGAACTAAGATTTAAATCTAGAATATCTGACTTCCAACCAAATTATTTCTATTCCAACTAGCATTAACTGACCTTAGAGTAATTTTTAAAATTCCAGCTAGCTGGGGAAACATTAGAGAAATTTTTATAGTCCAGCAAGCAGAAAAAAAAGTTAGACTTTTTTTTTTTTAACTTGCCCAAAGGCATTGGTTGATGCACAGCAGAGCAGGTACAAGAATTCAATCTGCATGACACGTTCTTTATTGCTTTTATCTGAGTGACTAGCTGCACTGACATCTAGTACCAAATGAAAATAAAAGTTTGATTTTGTTACTTAAATAGCAGTTACAGTTGTACAATTAATGGTTGAGTCATTATTACATGTGTAATAGACTACCTTGAATTAAATCCATTTTACTTTTTGCCTATAGGGCAAATTAAGCAGAATCAATATCAGGTCTTATTAAAATAATTTAATGTAATTGGTGGTATATTAAATTCACTATTTTCTTTGATTTCAATTTGTTCCATTTTTCTTTCTCTTTTTCCAGATTTCTTTTGTAGTAAACATTTTTTAATATAATATTTATTAATCTAGAGTGCTTTCCAGCATATCCATTTATATAGATTTTTAGGTATTCCTTTAGGTATTACCTTATACACACATGACTTATCATAGTCCACTGAGTCAATATTCTACCAGCTTAAATGATGTGTAGAAACCTAACCTTTCTATCCCTTTACTCTTCTCATTTATAATAAATCATCAAATATTTTTTTCTATATACATTGATAAACTACATCAGTGTCATAGTTTTTGCTTCATCTGCCAAGTATAAGCTAGAAAACTTAAGAGGAAAAGAAAAATAGTTTGTGTTGCTATATGTTTACTCTATCTTTTATGAATTCTGACTTTCCTGATGTTTGAAGATTCTTTCTTGGTCATTTTCTTTTGGTTTCCAGGTTCTTTTAGGTTACTGCTAGCAAAAAACTCTGTTTTCCTTCATCTGAGATTTTTAAAAAATCTTTCCATTCTTGAAAACACACACACACATATATATATATATATATATATATATATATATAT